ACTAAAGCTGGGATTATATCTTCTAAGTTTTCACAAGCTGACATGAATCATGAAAATAGTTCTTGATTATTTCCTTAAACAGCTTTGATGTGAGAAAAAACAAACAAAGAAAAAAACTCACAGAGCTGTGTATATTCTCCTATATGATCCTGGGTCAGGAAATATGGTTTGTAGGCACTGATCTTTAAAACCAGAATTTTTGCAACACTGTTGGCAATATCCTAAATCAATACAGTATAATAATATGAGTCAGTACATGGTGAGTGAAGAAAAATAGAACTGTGGAGATATCATGTGCAAATGATAAAGTAAAACTTATATTACCTGGACTTAAAAATACAATCTTATTCTTAGCTTTCTATAGTTTTATTTTTTTATAAACTTTAAAAAAATATTTTATTTATTTAATTTTAGAAAGAGGGGAAGGGAGGGAAAAAGAGAGGGGGAGACATATCATTGTGTGGTTAATATTTCTGATCCTCACATGGCCCCCATTGGGAACCTGGCCTGTAACCCAGGCATGTGCCCTGACTGGGAATTGATCTGGTGACCCTTTGGTTCACAGCCAGCACTCAATCCACTGAGCTACACCAGCCATGTTCTGTATAATTTTAACTACTGCACACAAAGCAGGGAGTAAATGATGGATAAAGACAATTCACTGTTGTTCTCATGTTACTGTCATGCCTCTGCCAGTAGGCTGCCACAGAATAACTACTTGAATGCTTAAGCATTTTGAAAACATCATCATAGTTATGTGGCATTATTTGGTGATGACATTACATTTAATAAAACACAAGGTATACATCACAAAAGAAAACAAAAAACGACCATCTTTTTTACTCCCTAGAGGTAAACAAAAGTGCCCTTGAATGGCTGAGAAGGTTATAAAAGCTACCTGTGAAAACACTTTAAATAAAATTCCTCAGGCAGCTTGTCTGAACTCTGAATGACTAGTATAGCTCTCAAAATCTCTAGAGGGAAAAAAATACCTCACACTTGGAATGGTCCTTTTATACAAATACTCAAAAAAGTATAGTGAGAATACTTACTGATTTTTAAGCCAATTACTATTGAGAACTTACAAGATCATTTTTATGGAAGAAATTTATTTCATAAGTCAATATCAAAACCTGAAGAAATAAATCTTCAATGTCTAAATAATTCTTATACCAATATATGCAAATACAAAACTTTGTCTAAATTGCTATTATTAAACATGTTTTACTTTAAAGAAGAATCTTATGAATTCCTAACATTTATGAAATGAAAAGAATGATACAAAAATGAAAAGGCAATCCTTTGTGGACCCCCATACTTTCTTCAAAATGAGCACAGTATAAATCTAATTTATTTATTCCAATTTTTCCATGTCCACATTCTCACAAAGGACAGTATTCTGTCAGGCATTCACAGGGCCCACAAAGAGAACTTTTGTATGATGGGTACATCAGAAAGAATAAATACATGCAAATAGAAATTACACTTGCAGTTTTGTGTTTTGTGAAAGTTTGGAGTGAGATGTCTCTTGTGATGAGAAGAAAAATATTAGCGATATTTAATATCCAAAATAATGTCATTCACTATCCATATCTCGAGTGAACCACATAATGTGAATGCTGTCACAAAAGCAAACCAGAAAATAAAAGTCTTAATGGCTTTAGTTCAGTGGAAAAAAAATATATATTCCTTGAAGATTTTTTTCTCCCTCTAGATCACTTCTACTCAACATGCACTTTATAATTCTTAATTTATATTCAGCAATGATGTGCTCTCTGGCTTTATAACCTTACGCAGTTTCTCTACTGCTACTTCAGAAGATTTTGTTGTTGCTATTTTGTAGTTTAAAGTGGGTGGTTCTCACTTCATCCAAAAGAAAAAAAAGATGCCTTGAAAAAAAAGACATGGCCAGCCTCTAGAAATGAAATTATTTTTGCTGAATTGTAACCATACCCATTGGAGGCTGTAGAAGCTGTGCTGTGCGACACATGCATCACCCCACTTAATTCTCACAGCCCTCAAATGGCCAAATTGAGGTGTTACAGATTGAGACATTTTCTCAGGGTCACAAAACTAAATTTACGAAGAACTGGCAATTGGTCAATTCTGAAGAGCATAGAAATAACTGTTGATTTATTCATTTATTCAATTAATCAACAAATGTTTTATAATGGACTACTAAGTATCAAGCATAGAATTAGATATGACAATACAAACTGAAATAAGTTTTGACTCCTGTCTTTAAGGACATTACTTTCTAGTTTGGAAAGAGGCCAGTAAGTTAACATAGTGTCACTATAGATACTTATAGCCCCTTGTAGGGGAACTAATGTAGAGTCCTGAAAGGTCCCTATGGAATTGAAACTATCTTGTATATTTATAATAAGACTGGAGTAGAAAACACTTGGCAAGTTTGTCCTATAAATACTTAGTTTGCATTTATGGCATCAACATAAAATAATAAAAGTAAAAATCAATAATTTTGAAAATCATGTAATGTTTATTTTCTGAAATTGATCTTTTATTTCAAATTGATGTAGGTGCAGCCAAATTGGATAAAGACAATTAAGGAACCCAATTTGCAGCAATAATTGGAGAATTCAGTGCTGAATATCAATTATACCAAAAGATTACTAATATTTGGAGGTTTAAAATTGAGTCTGCCCCTGGCTGGTGTGGCTCAGTGGATTGAGTGCTGGCCTGTGAACCAAAGGGTTGCCGTTTCCATTCCAAGTCAGGGCATGCACCTGGGTTTTGGGCCAGGTCCCCAGTAGGGGGCATGAGAGGCACTGATGTTTCTTTCCCTCTCTTTCTCCTTCCCTTTCCCTCTATCTAAAAATAAATGAATAAAATCTTTAAAAAAAATGAGTCTGATATCATACATATTCACAAACTGAAATAAGGTATGCTCAGTGTTTCAACTGAATGCCTGGTATCCACCTTTTATCTATTTAAAAGCCACTATTGGATATCACATTTCAAAACTATTGGAAATGCAAACCTAAGAACTTCTTCCAAAGAAATATGGGATTTGAGTCTGGTAAATTTCCATAAAAGAGAGGCAGTGTGTAATAACAAGGTCTTTTCTCTAAATAAGTAGCATAGCTTTTTAGAATAGACAGTGACTAGGACAACTTCTCTCACATTGGTAGAGTGATCTGAATGTCAAACCAGGTGACAAGGTTGCAGGTGCCAAAGGTGAAGTCAGGGTGTTGCCACCCGTACTAACACTTTGAGGCCTGTCCCACACTGGTGACCAGCAGGCTTACCTTTAGTCTTTCATCATTGATGCCATTTAATATTATCTTAAATTCTACAGTAATAAAAATTCTTAGAAGTCTGAGTATGCTAAGATGCTGCATTTGCTTACATTTATATAGTACACTATGGTACAGTGTGGTGTGGTACAGTGTGGTAAAGGATTGCATACAGTTTCTACAAGTTTAGAATCAGTGTTTACCTACAAGTTTAGAATCCGTTTCTGGACAGCAAAAACTGGTTTGCACAATGACCATTATGGAATTAATGTTCAAAGCATGTCTTGTATAGAACAGAATGTATATTCCAAATTTCAAGGTATTTTTTTTTATCTCTGACAGTTTACTTAAAAAGGCAGACAAAGCACCAATTTCACATTCACCACCTCTATTGGTGTGTTCAAGATTATTAAATTCTGCCTATTATATTTCCTAAGATGCAATAAATGTTTCAAAGATCTTATTTTATTTTATTAATTTTTAGAAAGAAGAGAAGGGAGGGAGAAAGAGAGGGAGAGAAACAGCAATGTGTGGTTGCTTTTGCACCCCTATGGGGTAGCTGGCCTGTATCCTAGGCATATGCCCTGACTGGGAATCAAACCAGCGACCTTTTGGCTCATAGGCTGGCACTCAATCCACTGAGCCACACCAGCCAAGGCCCAAAGATATTTTACACACTCAAAGAAAGGAGATTCTGAATAAAAGGTCACTGTTTTCACGTTAACATTATTATTTTCAAGACATTTTTGTCACAAAAAAACTTTGTGTGACTTGTCATAGTTGAAGCTGAAAATTGTTATAAATACTATTCACTGTTTATTAAGTAAATAGCATCATATCACTATTATTTATGTTAGTAATATGAAGAACTTTAATCACTTATAAAATTCAGTTTATTTTCTATTTTCTCACTTTTCTAACATAGTTTATTTAATATCCTTATTTTTTTATATGTTAGCCTCTAACTTACAGTGTGAGCTCACTCCAAGTAAAAAAATCAATAAATAAATCTCCAGAATTTGGTGATTATGGGAATATATAATTAATATTTATAAAGCACTCAAGTTATTTATAGAAAGCATTTTTATATAGATACTCTTACTTCTATATGCTATTTTAATACATTAAGATAATTACATTAAGTAAAATTTGACTCACTTCTGCTATAATAATATTTTAATTAAAATCTCTCCATCATGAAAGGAAATATAGATATACCAAAGAGGTAATATCCTAGATAAGAAAATAATTTATTAAATATGTTCTACAAGCAACATTAAGATTTTAATTTATCACATTCAATGTAAGTGTTATGTCATGTTGATTTAGAGTTTGATAACAAAATAGCCATATATTAATAAAATGGCAAATATGTACAATAAAGCCTATCCTGGCTAAACTAAGCTTCTATTATTCTAAATAAAGAATCCAAATGATATTGGTTCCAAATATAGACAATTCTTTTCATATATATTTATCATTAGTACTTGATAAACTGGTAAATAGTAAAATTCCCATTTCAGTGAAACAAAAAGCATATCCCTAACTGTCTAAGCTCAATAATAACCATGTGAAATAAGTTCTGTACCTGCAGATGCAATGGGCAGGAATACAAAAATGAATGAGCGAACAGAGAGAAATATACAAACCACATGTACTGCCTTAGGACCTGGGTCATTCAGATATGAGTGTTAAAGGTTGTCTCACTACAGTTCACGGTATTAAGCAATGTCTTCCACTTACAGGAGGGTCTGCATCTTCAGCATAAACGCTTGTGATGGGTGTACCCTTGACAGCATCTGGAGCCACTATCCCTTTGTAGACACGTTTACTGAACACCGGAGGATAATCATTCATATCCTGTAAAACACAATTAAGAGTTTAGTGCTTGAGTTGAAACTGGGTTATGTGTCTGGTTACTTGACTGGCTCCATCTCTGCATATCATGCAACCTATTTGCCACTGTCAGCCTTCCACCCTCTCAATTCCATTACTTTCACTTCAGAATGGCACTCGCTACATTATCAGAGGTCTTGTATGTTACTAATGTGCATGATATTAACCAAAGGCCATTCCACTGGAGTAAACAAGCCATCACCCCAACTCCCCCACCACCCAAAATGCACCTTTTAGACACTAGAGTAATGCTTGAAATTTTCTCTAAAGATACTCCTATTGGAATGACGTATAATTGAACTTTGGAAACAAGTAGGAACAAATGTTACAAAAAAATATGCCATTCAATGAGATTCATGTAGAAGATGGTGTTTTTATGTTTGTTTTGTTGCTATTTTTTTTCAGAAGCTCTCTAATGTTTCTGTTTTAACTTCAAAGTCTTTATATACTATATACTTAGCATAATGGTATGATTAAAACATTTCACATGCAAAGTGTGAAATTTCTTTTGATGCCATCTTATACTTTTACAACTGTAAAATGATTAAAGAATGTTTTCCTTGTAGCACACTATGATAATGACAAATATGATTAGACAGATATTTTTATACACAGAAAACAATAATTTATTTAAAATTTTTTTCAAAGTATTTATATGCATCTTCTTTAACTTTCACAATTCAGTACTATAAGTGCCTTTTTTATTTATATAGTATCACTCATTAAATAAATATTTACCAAGTTCCTCCCATTTTTATGACCTCATGCTAGTCACTGGGGATATATGGTGTCTCAGGAAGAGATGCCCCTGTCCTCACTTCATGTTAGTGCTTTATAGCTGATAAAGACACTGATTCTACCAATAGGTTAGTTTACCTAAGGTAAATTACTTATCTGGTAGAGCTAAACTGACATATCTGGTCCCCAGAGAACAAGATCATTTTTTTCACTCAAGTATTTTATAGAGAACTGCATATTATTTTTTTCTGAAAAAGCAACAATTATGACCTTGGTTGATTTAAATTTCTTAAACATATTTATTCTAATATAATCATTACACCTTGCATTGTTTGGGGTAATTTGGATCAAACATATTTGCACCCAAAGCTCCATCTGTTAATTACCTTACCCTCTAGGTCATCTGTTTCTCACTCGTTATTAAAAACAAAAGAAGATTATTCTACATCGTATTTGATATTTGCTCTGATACAACAAGTTTCTTGTACACTGTAAATTGGGAACACACTAATTAACTGACTATAAACACCTCTTTGATAAGAGGTCAGGGTAATTATCTCTTGAAATCAGATAGAGCTTGTTTTATGTTCACCATACAGTTGACTTCTGAATTGCAAATATGAAGAAACCTGTGGACTCCAGTATGAAATAGGAGGTCATGAGCTGTGAGCAAAACTGAAAAAGAAAAAGTAAATACAAATTTTCTCCATTTTGACATATAATATTAACATTCTCTTTCATAAAAAAGAAGAGTTATTTTGTAAATATTGAACTTTAGAATCTGAACAAGTAGATGAATTCAGGAAGCAGGGGTTCTCCATAAGGAGGGCAGTATAAGGTGTTGACCTTGAGGTTTCAGGGTGTAGAGTAAATACTGTATATAAAATGCTTGCATGCATACTATCCCCTGCTCTTTTTAAGAGTGCCAATTACCTTCATTAGTGAATCTTGTAATTAAAAAGGTAGAAATCCTACTGTACCTCTAAATCTTAACTTCTGGAGTTTACAAAAGAAGGAGCTCAGCATTGTAAATTCTCTGTATATGGATTCCCAAAGTCATATAAACTCAATATGTTCTTATGAATTTTTCTTCTCCTGCATCCCAGGGGACATTGAAAACCTTAGTGTTACAAGGTGTTTCTTTGATAATTGAATTCTTCAGGGGAAAAAAATATGATGTTTTTCAATTATGTCAGTACAGCTGCTAACACTGCTAAATACAGTGTCCCATTTCTCCTGAGAAAGTATTCACTAGATTTGCCTTCTAACTGAATACAAAATGACCATTTCATAACCTGGCCTCACAAACTGATTAGATGCAAATCTAAGGCTCTAAATAACTGAAGACCATTCAAAGACTGTATCTCTGACCTACTTGCTTACCATTGACAGGATGTAGAATAAATCAATACAATTATTATAACAGTACTTCTTATGGTACATTGTATATATTATGGGGCAACAGTCTTTTACTGTAGCTAATATGTACAGCCAGATGCACATAGTTCTTACATAATGCATTATATCAAATTATAAAATTTATTGAGATGTAATGCCAATGAACATAATCAATAGTTGGGCATATTTATGCTCCAGAGATGTTGGAAGAAAAATGGACACGTGACCTGTTTCTGTACGAATGCTCTATTATGCATTAAATTAAGGATAACCTGCAATCTCAAAAACCAAGCCACCCTCTATTGCCCATTACTCCACTAGAGGGTAGTATTAGCAAATAGAAACATTTCCTTTTCTGTATGCTTATTAACCATTCTATTACTAAGACACTTAATAGTTTGCTTTCTGTGGTTATAGTTTTAGTGGTTCTGTGGTTGTCGGTCTGAACAGTAACTAGTTTTCTTGTTTCTAAAGCCTATCCTGAATGTTACCAAGTTCTCAACTAGAACATCACGATGCTCTTTAAAAAAATGTTGTACTAGTAAACTTACAGTTTCATCCCATGTACAACACACCTAAAGGTACAGCTAGCTAAGAGGGAAAAAATGTTTCATTTATTTATTATTCTAAACTAGAGGCTAAAGTAATCATAAAACTGATTTCTGTTTTGGCATATCAGCAAGTATATTTAAGGAACCTTTTTTTATGAGCCTACCAAGAAAATAGAAGTTTGCAGGTAAGATTAGAAATTAATGGCAGGTTCTTCATAAAACATAAAGAGAAAGAGGTGGCAATTTTTAAAAATAATTCTCTTAAATCATGAGTAAAAATTGTTCTGAATAAAAGACTTTTCCTGATACAAAAGAAATAACGGGTTATATTCTGATCATCTTTTTAAAAATAATGGAAATATAGAGAATGCCAGCCTCAATCTTAAACTGTCACACAAAAACAACTTCTGTTACTGTCATAATACTGTCTAGTGCTAGCATTACACACATAGAACTGTTTGGCTGCCCTGCTTTCCAAAATCCCCTAAGGCTTATGGGGCTGATGCCTAGTCTTCCTTGGCAGACTACAGAGCTGATTTCTCTGTTGCTTGTTACCAGTTCTGTTTCCCACTATCAGACCCTCTATTTGTTAGGTCTCATATAACTATCTGCCTTCTGCTGTTTTATTCCCCTCTTGGTTTTTCTCCTTGTCTTTTCTGACTTCTCTCTTTCTTGTGGTTTTGCACATAGGGTCAAGGACCATATCCAGACAAACAAACTTTTTTTTTCTGCTTTGCATGAGTCTCAAACACAAATCATATATTTATATCAACTTTTTTTTTAAATCAAAACTTGTCCTGGAAGCTTTTTTTTTTATTTGTGTAAATTTGTTTTAGTATTGCTTTTATTTCTGAGTTTAAGCTATTTTGAGTTCTTTGGGGCAGTATATCTATGTAGAGTAATCAAAGTTATGCTTTGTTACAAATGGAAAATGTACAGTATGGCTCTCAGTATCACAAATATTGATGGGGCTCCCACTCTGGGCATTAGGTAGCACTTTTGGTGCGGGAGATATGATTACCACCAAGAAAGGCATACTGCCTGCTGGTAGTGAGGTTACAGTTTAATGTGGGAAGCAAAAATTAAATAAATAATGTCAAGTGTGATAGATGTACAAGGATATGATGAGAGTGTATTGGAAGAAGTTTAATTAATTTAACACAGGATGCATTTCTGATATCTGAGCAACTGTCCCATCACTCATGAATTCTGCCACATGAAATAGTCTTCCCAAATTGACAGTTAAATCAGAGAAGGATAACACTGTGCAACATTGATAAACCCAGTTATTTAATACGTAATTCCATTCCCTTCTAGTTTCCCTGTGTTACAACGGTAATGTGGAGGAAACATTTTTATAATTTTTCTAAGCCATGATATTTTGGCCAATTAGGACAATAAATGCATATCTGAGCTCAAACCAATGAGCAGATTCAAAGAATAACACCCTATTTTAGACTTTCTCAGAGGTGCATTAACAGAGACATGTGTGTGCACACTGCGTATGGTTGATTTTTACTTGGTGGGTTATCAGGCATTATCAGGCATATGTTAAGTGTCTTAAGTTTATCATCTCAATTATTTTTACAAAAATATGTTAGCTATTATTATTACTATTATTCCTATTTCACAAACAAAAAAGAACTCTGGAAGCTTAGAGAGATTAAATTGCTCATCCAGCACTAAAGGATAGAGCTATTATTTAACTCTGGGGGTCTGTGCAGGCAAGGAGAAAGAGAACTGGTAAAGTCATCAGAAAATTATATGTAAGATGAGTAGGATTTTCATTAAAAAAATCCATGTATAACTTTTAAAATATCTCTTTCCAATAATATTTTACATTCAAAACTTTCTTCCAGCTAGTTACCATACTTTTAACTTGGCAATCTAGTGAGCTTCTGAATATTGTATTTCCCTGAAGAGAATTTTTATGATTGTCTATAAAGCTTTTTTTTTCTGTAAAAAGGCGGTTGTTGCAGTTGTATTCCTATTCTTAAAACAGTCTATTCAAGCCTATAAATAGTTATTTTCACTAAAACATAATGTTTTATTTTCCAAATTAAATTCTTTGAAAAATTATCTTATCAGAAATTTTACAAACAAAAGAGTCCCTTGATCAATTGTGGGAAATTACATTTTATTTTCTTGAGATTCACAATGTGCATTAGCATATTAAAGCTCCTATATGAAGGTCTACAATATAGAGATCTGTTCACTTTCGTATAGCCCAGTGTTTCCCAAATCCATTGTCTACTGAAATTCTTTGTATCTGAAACACCCATTACCATATCGTCGAGCTGATGCTCTATGAAATATATCCACAGAGACCCTGAAGACACTGAGATATTAAAGGCACAAACTATTACTGCTTGGAATATTGCATCACTTTCATGAATTAAAATTTTATAGAGAATTATTGAGGAATCCAGTATATCAAGTGCTCCTCCCAAATACAGCAGCCAATTCACCAGGGTAAAGATATCAGCTACAGCAATGGTGGGACTGGGAAATAACGGCAGTGGTCAGCAGTAACTAGCATCAACAAGGGTTATCAGCCTCTGTTGTCCCTATTAGGAAGCAGTTCAACTTTGGAAACTAGTGGCAATAGCCAGCTTGAATGCCATTTGCCTTGGCATGCAGGGGAAACTGTGATAATCACCGAAGGGTGAAAAGGTAAAATCTCTGAGCATATACATTTTTATTTGTGTCCTCTGCTTTGGTTCGTCAGAGGTAATATGCCACATCTTGGTTGTACAACTCTAGAATAGCAGAATGTGCAGATACTTTAAGAAGCTATCTGACTCAGCCCATGATGTCCTCCCTGATGTATTCACATTTTTAACCCTCGTGATGAACACATTAGAAAAAATACACTAAACAATAATATAACTGTGCAGAGCAGAATAGAGAGAAACATTTAAAGACTATACCCCCCAAAAAGTTTATCTCCAGTTCAACCAACTCCAATGGAAAAATCAACTCCAAGTTGTAAAAAATAATGATCACTCTATTAGAATATAATCTCACTAGCTGGTTCATTGAAATCATCTTTAACTCAATCGCTTGCTTCCAGAAGAAGGGAAGGAAATATGATGTACATCTTGACATGTCCAGAGTTTCTTATTTGTGTGAGTCCTGGACTATCTCCTGGTATCTCATACTGTAGCTCCTGTGACCCAGTCAAAACTAAGACTGTGCCAGTCCTGTCACCATGGAGCACCAGTGGCATATCAGCAACTACTGGGTGTCCATGGTTTGGTAAATGGCACCTTGATACCAGACATTGAGTTCCTATCTAGAAAAGCTAGAAAAGCCTATTCTCAATATTCTATGGGCATGGGAAGATTTCTTTCTACCTGGAGGAGGAAACCCCTTTGAAAGATGAAAGTGCTAGCACCATCTTCAAGGCTCATTGTACGTCCCAACAACCTTGGCCCTTATGGATAGTTATCCATTCCAGATCCCTCCACCTAGTTCTGCCCACTCCCACACCTGTACCCATTATGCCAGACAAACAAAACAAGGATGCACCCGTCTCCTTCTTCCAGGGGAGTGTTTCCCTCACTCTTCTTACTGCTCCTCTGTAGGCATTCTGTCTAAAATTGCAATCAGCAAAATGACTTAAGTTATCCTTTTTATCTTGAGCAAGTCCTTTACACTCCTTTTATTGTTGTTAAGTATTGCCTATCTAATAATATATTTCACTTTTTCTGGCTTGTATTCAGCTTTTGACTTACTATAGAAAACAGACTTTTATTTCTGTGCATTTTCTGTTGTACATTAGAACTCAGTGTGTAACATCAGTTTTTTCTCTGAATTTTATGTTTTAAACTGTTTAGAGTTTTATATTTATTTTCCAGAGATTCATTCATATGATCTAATTTTCTACCATCACTGATTCAACTATTCTAGATATTCAATAAATGTACAATGAAACAGGCTTTGTTTTTATCAATGTTCTATACATTTTTTCAATAAAACATATTATTTTATTATCATTATTGATTTTGTTTTGGCTCCTTAAAGTGGAACATCAAGAAAGCTCTTGGCAGGTATTGTCATATAATTCTATTTTCTTTCTATTGTGAAAATATTTTCACTTCCAAATATTACTCCAATTTCCCTATGATTAGTCCAATTTTAGCTGAGTTTGATGAACTAGAATAGTTGATATTTCTTTTATTCTTCTTTATAAAAGAAATTATATTTCTTCTCATTTTCAAAGAGAAATCTTCAAGATGCTTTCCCTGTGGTGACTGTTGTGAGTAGAAATATCTCTTAGCAAATACCATGAAATTATGTTATCAGCAAAGCAGCTTGTCAGTACTGCAAGTAAACAGACCAATAGCAGGAAATCTGTAAGCCTACGGAAAATCTATATATGTGGAAAAATGAGAACTCTATTCCATTTCTCTTGAAAACAAACAGGTATGATAGTACACAATAGGGTTTTAAAGCTCTCTGTGATAATCTCACCTGAGTGCTCAGAAGAAAGGAAAGCAAGTGTCAATCTACATTTGGGTAAATATTCTGTAAATATATTTATGCTTATATCACTTGAGAGAAGTGGTGTTGAAAATATCTACAATTAAATATTGAATAAGATTTGGTTTAAATGTACAATAAATCAGGAATAACTTCCTGTGGAAGTCATTGGACAAGAAGATTTGACAAATAAAATAGTATGGTGCAGGGTATTTTAATGAGTGAGATAGCAGACCTAGAGAGATCAAGAAAGCCCCCAAGATTATAGAACTTGAAATGATTGAACCATAACATAATGCAATTTCATGTGATCCCAAAGTTTATTTCATTCTAGAATTTTGGCTTCCAAACTAAACTAAACTAAACTAAATTATTCTTGAGGCTTAGAACACAATCATTGAGTCATCTAATTTTTAAAATACTTTTATTTGAAGGATTCAGGCAAAGTTATTATCTCTGCTGTTGTGGAATTTGGAGTAAAGTACAGTTTGGAGATATTAGTATTTGGTTGAAATCACAGAGCTAAAGGCAGGCTCAGGCAGCCACAGTGTTTGAATTAATTTTTAGTGTTTCTTTCACATTTATCAGTTATTGTTAAATGATACAGTTATTTCTCAAGTCCTCATAAATATTTCACATTTAAAAATCTGTGTTCTGGGTCTGGTACCACTGTTTTATTACAACCTGTTACACTAAATACTATAGTCATAGTAAGAAAAGCAGAAGCTACATGTAGAGAATGAAAAGTAGGCAACCAGAGGTGATCTGTATCCCTTACCTTTACTATCACTGTGACAGTCGCAATACCAGGTGGCATTGTCCCATAAATATCAAAGGCCTCCACTAGAAAAGTGATGCTTGCTTCTTGGGGTGGAAATGACTCATAGTCCAAACTCCTTAAAAGGGAGAGTTCTCCTGTAAATGGATGTAGTGCAAAAATATGTTTCACTTCTGGGCTTCTTATTCGATAAGACACGTTTGCTCCAAGGTCAACATCTGTGGCCTGCAACAAGTTAAGCAAAAGAATACTTATATCAGTGGTATTACCACACAAGAGGAATGAAAGACAGATGAATGTCATGTGTCAGTGCTTATGACAGCAGATGTTTAATGACGACTGAAAGTCATATTTCAGAGAAAAGCACTTTTGTTAAAGTAATTTGCTAGAGAGGGAGGAGAGAGAGAGAGAGAAATATAGCTAGTGACATGGAATTTTGTTTTGTTGATCTTCTTGTTAAATTTACTTTATCTGAAAAACTACTAAGTAAATGAAGCATACCACAGTAAAGAAATACATATGGTCATAAATGGTCATTATTTCATGCTGATTGTAGAACCTCGGGAAGGGTCATCAAGGAACATGTATAAAGGACCCATGGGCAAAGTCAAAGGTGGGAGAAGGATTGAGGTTGGGAGGTGGGGGAAAGTGATGGTGGGAAAATGGAGACAACTGTACTTGAACAACAATAAAAAAGAACATAAAAATAAAAGAATACAGAAACATACATATTGGATGCTGGTAGAGATGGTTTTAGTAGGTAGAAAGAGCAGATGCATGATTTTGAAAAATCATCTATAGTGTATTCTTTTTGTTTTAAGAATCAGATTATGGGTTTATATGAGTTAAATGTTTAGTTGAAATCAAACTAAGTTCTACTAATAAAGCTGTTAGTATCTTAGAGATTCTCTGATTTCAAGCACCATTCCAGCTTCCTTACATTATTTGATGATGAGGAGGATAATCGGAATAAAGCACCAATGAGGACAAAACATTGATTACTCTGAGTTATCCTGCTACTGAAACCAAAGTATCTCTTCACAGAAGGGTTTATTTTTAAATAACAGATAAAAAGAAACGTGGCAAGTAGATGGGGAAGTAAGCAGAAGAAACAATCTTATATCAGTGGGTCAGGAAAATTCGGGACTCAGACAAATGGAAGGACACTATAGTATATGAATGGACTTGGGGGACTCAGAACACCCCAAACTCAGCTCTGCCTCCTTAACTAGTCAAAGAGATGCTTCTTCCTAGTCTTTGGGCTCTGCTCCACCTCACATTGAACACTGTGGAAAGGAAGTGTTTGAGGGTGGCTGCTTATGCTCAGTACCCCTCTCCCTTTTCAGGGATGCTCACTCTGAAGCAGAACATTAAACGGCACTGGGTGTCAGGGCTGGTGTTGGTTTCCTAGGGCAGCCGTAACAAAGTACTACAAACTGAATGACTAAAAACAACAGAAATTTGGGAGAGGGGTAGGTAGAAGTGCAAGAGGGTATGGGGGTATAAATGGTAACAGAACAAATACAATAAAAAGTAATTTAGAAAAACAGACAGCATGCCAGATTTAGCTATGGTTTTCTGACCCCTGGTGTAGAGCATGAGTATAATCAAACTTGTCAGCTTCAAGGTATATTGAGTTTAATCAATAAAAGTGTTAGGTATGAGAATGATCACTAATAATGGCTTATTGTTGGATCAACATTTACATAAAGAGCATTTTAGACTTATTTTAGAATAGCTGCATAAAAAGCAACTGTATGTATATGTTGGCATATGTTTATTTCATTTTGCCATCATTTTAGCAAACATTTTTTCTTTCTTCTTAAACTCCTGTAACTGCTTTTACATAATAAAACCTTTGAACAATGAAAAAAAAAGAAAAATACTATTTTAAATAAAAATAAATATGTTGAGTGATTTCCATAAACATAATAGATTATTAAAGCACTATAAGGAAACTGAAAAAAATATATATAATAATTTCATCTTACATGTATCTTATAATACATTTATAGAGATCACTTTATTATAACTCCTTTCATTTACCAAATTTTTATTGAATAGTTATTATTGTGAGGTGCAACAGAGATGAACAAGATGAATCAAGACATAGTTTCTGCCTTCCAGGTTACTGTCTCAAAGAAATAAGACATAAATACCCAAATCAAAGGGAAAAACTGATATATTACTTAAAAGTATTTAGGATTTGGACTGATATCTTTTAGCCGAAAGGATAGGTTTTTAAGAAGCTTTTGTGTAATGACTATTTCTTTCAGTAGCACAGGCTGGCAAAGGCAATTCTGGGAGAGGAAATGGATGGAACAAGAATGGCATTGGGAAGATGAGGGCTGGTTAGATTGTGCAGCACTCATGCAGTATCTCCTATGTTAATGTCCAGTCTTGGGTCCCTTTAAACAGTTACCAACATCATAATGAAAAAGATAACGCTAACACACAGATTTTATTATTTTCCTGCCTAAAATTCTTCTTGTTTTTCCATTCCATTTTAGATCATTTCCATTCTCTTTAACATGGTGAAAAAGACTGACAACACATTTTCCAGCCTTAGTCCCTAATTCTCTCCTCTATTTCAGCATTTTGAGCAAGTTCTTTGCACTGCCTTAGAAAGTCTTTCTTCCTTACTACTCAGCAGAAAGAAAGAAGGAGCTCCTACCCTTTGTGACAGCATGGATGGAACTAGAGACATTATGCTAAGTGAAATAAGCCAGGCAGGGAGGAGGGAGGGGCAAATACCTTATGATCTCACCTTTAAGTGGAACCTAATCAATAGAACAAACAAGCAAGCAAAATATAATCAGAGACATTGAAATTAAGAACAAACTGACAGTAACCAGAGAGGAGGTGGGAGGGTATAATGGTGGGGGAGAGGGTGAAGGGATTTCAGGAACAACTATAAAGGACACATGGACAAAACTAAGGGGGAATGGAAGCAGGGGAGGGAAGTGGGGATGGCTTGGGTGAAGGGAAAGTGGTGGGGGGTAAATGCAGACAATTGTACTTGAACAACAATAAAATAATAAAAAACAACCACAAAAAGTCTTTCTTCTTCTTTGCTTGAATGACTCTTACTCTTTAGGTCACCCTTTAGAAAGCAACTTTCTCTGGGAAACATTCTCTTTGATCTAAAGGTTAGGTTAAGAGCCCCACTTGTGATCTCCTAGGCTCCTCCTATTGTGAACCTCTAGTTTAATCACCAGTTTACTTGTCCATTTGCTACACCAGACCAAAAACTCCATGAAGGCAGAAAATTTATCCTTTTCATGTTTGAATCCTGAAAGTCTAGTATAGGATTTGACATGAAACAAACATTGAAAAAATATGCTTGTTGATGAATGAATAAATGAGATGAATAGAAGAATAAATAAATAATGGCCCTCTCCCTTGCCAGCTTATGTCACATTTTTCATATGTATTAATGTTTATAGTCTAAATATTTATCTAGTTTAATTATGCAAGAGATACAAGCTTTTTAAATCTGTGCTAACAAAATTTATGTTCTGGATGCAGGTCAAGGAAGGGCTAGAAATTTTTTTTTCCCAAAATATACTTCATATGTCACCTGTGCCAGAATTAAAGGGGTAGTTGCTTAAAATGAAAATTTCTGGTCCATCTTAAACTCCTGAATCAGAATACAAAGAGTTTCTACTAACAACACAATTGAGAAATGAAAAAGGAGGCACTAATGAAAAAAAAGAGTTAGAGCTGTAGAAGAATGTCAGTTACTCATTGAAAAAACTAGAACAATGAAAAACAAAATAGTGGGTATATAGCAATACCCTATTTTTGTAAAATATAGAAGAACTTTTTAAATGGGTGTATGTATACATATATATGTATATATGCATGTTTACATATCTATACATTTGATACTTGATACTTGATACATCTGAGTGCAAAGATAAATGTGGCAGAATAAACATAAAAATATTAATATTGAGCATTTTTGAAGTAAAAGTAGGAATTACTGACTTTTTATAGACTATTGTATTGTCCATTGTTACTATAAATATGGAGTATTATTTTTAATATTAAAATTATTTAGATGTGTTATTTAATTTTTACAAATGCAACCTTTCACCCTTTAATTTTTGGTATATCCCTAAAAGTAGAGTTATTAGAGTTTTGTTTTGTTTTGTTTTAAGATTTTATTTATTTATTTTTAGAGAGGGAAGGGAGGGGGAGAGAGAGAGAGAGAGAGAGAGAGAGAGAGAGAGACATCAATGTGCAGTTGCTGGGGGTTCTGGCCTGCAACCCAGGAATGTACCCTGGCTGGGAATCAAACCTGGGACACTTTGGTTCCCAGCCCGTGCTCAATCCACTGAGCTACGCCAGCCAGGACTTGAGTTATTAGAGTTTTAAAAATGTAGTACTTGAGAGATACTTATATTAATTTTACTTGGTGTTTTATTTTTTTGATTTCTTAAATCTGTCAATCCTATCCTAATAGCTAATCTCATTATGTGGAATTAATGAAATTTATGCTTCTTCCACACACCTCTATTTGAAGGAAGGAGGTCCCAGCCGGCAGATTCTCTTCAACAACAACAGTATATGTAGAATTGGTGAACACAGGACTATTATCATCAATGTCCAAAACTTTGATGGCCAGTGTTAGCGTTGAATGACGAGGGTGTACTGCTCCATCAGTTGCCACAACAACAAGTTCATAGTAGTCCCTGACTTCCCTGTTAAGCTTCACTGTTGTGTAAATACTCCCATTGGATGTGATTCGAAAAAGATTATTGAAGTTGCCCAAACTGTAATACACTTGGCCATTTATTCCAGCATCAGGGTCAGTTGCCTAAATGAAATTAAAAACAAAGAAATTCATATGGTACATTTTATTAAGCCTTTTCCAACATTTTGTTATGTTTCCCTTCTGAAAGAGCATATTCAATGAATCATGGTGTTTTCTAATTGAATACTCTTTTTCTCTAAAGAGAATATTAAAAAGATAATGATGATGTAATGCAAAAGCCTAGAACATGAAAAGAAATATAGCATAGTTTAATTAATATTCTTCATTTAAAATGAGCATAAAATAAATTGATAATATCATTAGCAATAGCAATATTGTTACAGAAAACTCTCATTACAAAAGTACTGAATATTTTATTATTATCATTTCTTTAATAGATTTCAAATTCTAAAATAATCTACTGACAACTTAAGATTCTATAGATTTTTTTAATTCAAGCACTTTTTATATTAATGTTTATATGTATGTTCAAGAATTTTATATATGTGTGTCTATATATATTTATATAACATCATTTAATCCTCACAATGTTCATATGGATAAATAGAATTGGTTCAATTTTACTAATGAGAAATCTCTGACTTAAGGAATTTATTTGTCTTGCTTAGCATTACACAAGAAATGAATATCTCAGTGACCTATTTTTTAGTACAATGCTTCATATGTTAAACTACTTAATAAATATTTGTGAAATTGATGAAAGTAAAATTTAAAATTACAACTTCTCCAAAACTCAAGTGACAGTAAAAGTATGGTAATGATGAGGCACCTACAATAGGTTCTTCTTTAATATCACAATAAAATCCCCAAGTGATAATTGAGAATTGCTGATATAATAATAATATAGTAACTGGAAATTTTAAGATATATCAATCACTTTACATAAAATAAAATGTGGAAAATTTGAGTGAACATTCTTCTCATGGAGTGTTATGAGATCTTACTAAACCTCAATTGTGATATAAATTATGACCTCTATGCAATACTGTGCATTTTGTGTTAAATAGCTCTATATTATTTTTCTTCAGAGAAACTGGAGGAAATTTAAGCAGCCAAAAAGGTTATATAGTTATGCCTCAAAATGTTGCTAAGGAAGATAAGGTACTTGGCTGCATTATGAGCCAAGGACACAATAATCACTTAATATCCACAACACTCTTCCCCTCAACACACACACACACACACACACACACACAAACAGAATGTTATCTTTTTGTCTAAAATCACAGCCTAAGTAACTAGAAAAATATATATATTCCAGTAATATAAATAGGTCTTATTTCATCATATCATTACTCTTGAAAATTCCAGTAACTTTTCCTGCCTGTGGGAATTCTTAAGGTCACAAAAATCAATCACTTATGTAATCAGTAATTTAAATGATAGTATACTTAGAAAACCTTATAGACTCCACCCAAAAAACTACTAGACCTAATAAACGAATTTGGGAAAACTGCTGAATACAAAGTCAACATTCAGAAATCAAAGGCATTTTTGCACAACAACACTGAAATATCAGATAAAGAAATTAGGGAAAAAATCCCATTTACTATAGTAACAAGAAAAATGAAATATTTAGGAATAAACTTAACCAAGTAGGTAAAATACCTTTACCCAGAAAACTACAGAACATTGAAGAAAGAAATTAAGGAAGACACAAATAAGTGGAAGTGTATACCATGTTCATTTATTAGAAGAATTAATATCATTAAAATGTTCATACTACCCAAAGCAATCCACAGATTCAACACAATCCCTATCTAAAGATCAATGACATATTTCACAGATGTAGAACAAACATTTCAAAAACTTATATGGAACCATTAACTACCTCAAGGAGCTTCAGCAATTTTGAGAAAGAAGAACTAAGTAGGAAGGATCACAATACCTGATATCAAATTATATTACAAGGCCACTGTAATCAAAATAGTCTGGTACAGGCATAAGAACAGACACATAGACCAATGGAACAGAACAGAGAGTCCATAAATAAAACCATGTCAATATGGTCAATTAATATTTGACAAAGGTGGCAGGAGTATAACATGGAGTGAAAATAACCTCTTCAATAAATGGTGTTGGGACATCTGGACAAGTACATGCAAAAAAATGAAATTAGGCCACCAACTTAACACCATCCACCAAAATAAACTCAAGATGGATAAAAGACTTAAATATAAGTCATGACACCATGAAAGTTATAGAGGAGAACATAGGCAGGAAAATTTCAGATATTTCCCACAGCAAAGTATATAAAGGAAAGAATAAACAAATGGGACTATATCAAGTTTAAAAGCTTCTGCATTGCTAAAGAAAACATCAACAAAATGAAAAGAGAACCAGCCATATGGGAAAACATATTTGACAATTATACTTCAGACAAGGGTTTAATCTCCAAAATATATAAAGAACTCACATGACTACACACCAGGAAGACAAACAATGCAATTAAAAAATAGGTAAAGGACCTAAGCAGACACTTCTCCAAAGAGGACATACAGAGACACATGAAAAAAATCACTAGCCATTAGGGAGTTGCAAATTAAAACTACAATGGGATACCACTTCACATTGGTCAGAATGGCCTTCTTTAATAAAACAACAAACAACAAGTGTTGGCAAGTTTGTAGAGAGAAGGGAATCCTAGTGCACTGTTGGTGGGAAAGCAGACCAGTGTAGCCACTGTGGAAAACAGTATGGAATTTCCTCAAAAAACTAAAGATAGAACTGCATTTTAATCCAGTGATCTCACTGCTGGGATTATGCTCTAAGAATTCTGAATCACCAATTCAAAAGAACCTATGCAAACCAATGTTCATAGGAGCATTATTTACAATAGCCAAGTGTTTGAAACAGCCAAAGTGCCCATCAGTAAATGAGTGGATCAAAAAACCTTGGTACATTTACACAGTGGATTCCTATGCAGCAGAAAGAAAGAAGGAACTCCTACCTTTTGCAACAGCATGGATGGATCTGAAGAGCATTATACTAAGTGAGATAAGCCAGATGGTGAAAGACAAATACCATCTGATCTCACCTATGAGTGGAACCTAATCAACAAATCAAACAAGCTAGCAAAATAGAATCAGAGACATGAAAATAAAGAACAAACTGACAGTGACTAAAGGGGTGGTGGGGGATGAGGATAGAAAGCAGGGGAATGGGCAAGTTAAGGACCATGAATAGAGGACTCCGGGGTGTGGACAATGGGGTGGGGTTTGACTGTGGGAGTTGGGCAGGGGCAGTGCAGGATTGGGTAGGGGAGAGCAATGGGGGGAAAGGTGGGACAACTGTAACTGAACAACAATAAAAATTATTCTTGCTCAGGTTACTTTTTTATATTTTATTTATTTATTTTTATAGAGAGGGAAAGGGGGGGAGAAAGAGAGGGAGAGAAACATCTATTGGCTGCCTTGCTGGGCACCCAACCTAGGTATGCAACCTGACCAGGAATCAAACTGGTAACCTTTCACTGTGCAGGACAAAGCCTAACCAACTGAGCCACATCATCCAGGGCTCAAGTTATGTTTTTATTCAGCCATGTGTTGGAAGATTTATTATGATAGAACACTTTAATTTGACATGTGTGTGTGTGTGTGTGTATGTGTGTGTGTGTGTGTATCTCAGGGGTGTTGTATATATGGTCATATATATGTCTAGCTGCTTAACATGTTTCCAAGAAGATGCATCAGATATGTCTGTGTTAGTTTTTATCACAGCTCTAACAAATTGCCACAAATTTATCAGCTTACACAACACAGGTCTATTATTTTATAGTTCTGTACAACAGAAGTTCAACATGGGTCTCACCGGGCTAAAATCAAGGTATAGGCAGGGCTTTGTTTCTTTCTGGAGGCTATAGAGAAAGATCACTTTCCTTTGGCTCATTCAGTTTGTTGATGTAATGTACTTCCTTGAGGTTGTCTAATGGATATCCCTCTCCTGGTTGTCACGTGAGGACCATTCCCAGATTGTAGAGGTCAGTCACATTCCTTGGTTCATGGCAGATTCCCTCCATTTCCAAAGCCAATAATAGTGGGTCAAGTCCCTCTCACACTTTTGAATCTCTCATCTTTCATGAGATTCTCTCCTCTTTCATGTCATCTCATACTACATATGAACCTCAGATACAAGCTGTGAGATATGTGGTGTAACACATATATACATCCCAGATATAATGGCATTTGCAGAAAAATCCCCCTTTATGCATAACATGCTTCCACCTATGTAAAATTCCTCAAGCTTAACTATACTGGTCCCAGCCACCATCCACTGTGGATCAGATTGCTAAATTACTTCTTAATTATTTCTTTCAGTTATTTCTTTTCAGAGAGATCTTTTATAAAAGAGAAAGTAATGATACCTGTCCTCTGCTTAACTTCTATCAATGATTTCCACTGCCTTGGGCAGTATTCAAAGCCTTAACATAGTTAAGAGGTTCCACATTAAATATTGCTTTCTCTATGTTCCAGAATATTGCAAACCTCTCCAACCTCCAAACTTCTCCAAATGCCTCTCTGCCTGTAGGGCTCTGCTGTTATTCACCAGCCTAATACCCACTCATCTTTCAAGTGTCAATTTAACATCACTTCCTCAAAGCAGTTCTCTCTGACTCCTGAAGTGGAAATTACAACCTCTTCTTAAACAGGTCAATAGTTCTATATACCTGCCATTTTTATTGCTTTTAATAATTTTAATTATATATTAATACTTATGTGTGATTATTTGTTTAATACTGATCTCCCTTTTTACAATGTAAGCCTTAAATAATATGGTCTGGGATTTATGTGTTTTCTTTTTTTCACTGATTGATTAATGCCTACTATAGTGCATAGCACATAGTAGGCACACATTTAATACTTAAATGCATAAACATAATATTAACATATAAATGAATGTATTATTACTGCTACAGAATTCTTTATTTTTGAAAGATTTTTATTTATTTTTAGACAGAGAAGGAGGGAAGGGGAAAGAGATGGAGAGAAATATTGACGTGTGAGAGGAATATTGATTGATTGCCTCTCGCATGCACCCCAACG